TACCTCAGATTTGATCATGTGAGAAAAATGACACTTTTAATGAATTTTTTTAATCGTTTAAAACTCTTCGACAACTGATTCACAACATCGACAAAATCAGGAAAAAAAAGTGAACCTCATCGAGGGTTCTAACAAAAGTTCTCGGAATGAAAATGAAAATGGCGTCTGATCGAGCTGAAAAAATTTTTTCTTTAGGGCAAACATATTCTTTGGCACACAAAAAAAAATCAAGCCCTGTTTGACAATTTTTTTCAACTTTTTGCAAAATTCACCCTATATAGCAAGAGTGTATATAGCAAAACTCTGCCAGGGTGAATTTTGTAAAAAATTGAAAAAAATTGTCAAACAGGGCTGATTTTTTGTTTGTGTGCCAAAGAATATGTTTGCCCTAAAGAATACTTTTTTTTAGCTCAATCAGACACCATTTTCATTTTCATTATTCCGAGAACTTTTGTTAGAACCCTCGTTATATACCTTCATCAGCAGTCGTTCGACCATCAGCACAGCCCATTCAGAAAAGGCATTATCCCCAAAGCCGTGAATAATAACGAAGAAGGGCAAGCTGGGATCAAAATCTGGAATAAGCTGCAGGGAATCCGGAATCAAAGAAGACATCTTGTAAGGCTCAGCAATTCCAGTTGCTCTGGTCCACAAAAGAAATTCCGTCAAAAGAACCGTGGGATCATCAGGCAATCCGCTGATGTGAGACAAAGGTCCTTGTCCTTTTTCAAAACACCCGACTTCCGCTATAAAAAAAAACAATGATGATCGAATTATTTTTTTATAAGTGGAAAATGAGGGGGAAAGTGTGCTGCTGTACAGCAACGCGATTTTTCAGCGCTTTCTAGTAGTGTTTTTATTTTAAATTATTGCTGTTTAATTATTTCATGTTTGGATTACTTATTCTATGTTTTGAATATTTATTTTATGCTTGGTATAATTATTTTATGTTCAGTTTAACTAGTTTATGCTTTTTTTAATTATTGTATGTTTGGTTTAATTATTGTATGTTTGGTTTAATTAGTGTATGTTTGGTTTGATTACTTTATGGTTGGTTTGATTACTTTATGTTTGGTTTGATTATTTCAGGTTTGGCTCAACTATTTTATGTTTGGTTTAATTATTGTATGTTTGGTTTAATTAGTGTATGTTTGATATAATTATTTTATGTTTGGCTCAACTATTTTATGTTTGGTTTAATTATTTCATGTTTTGTTTATTTATTTTATGTTTGGTATAATTATTTTATGTTTGGTTTAACTATTTTATGCTTTCTTTAATTATTGTATGTTTGGTTTAATTAGTGTATGTTTGGTTTGATTACTTTATGTTTGGCTTGATTATTTCAGGTTTGGCTCAACCATTTTATGTTTGGTTTAATTATTTGTGTTTGGTTTTATTGTTTTATGTCTGGTTTAATTAGTGTATGTTGTTTATTTTATTATTCTACGTTTGGCCATGCAGAACACTTTGCAATTTCGGAAATCACTTCAGAGGTAGGATATTTTTGAAATGGCCATTTAATAACAATAATCTGACAGTTGAGCAGACATTTATTTTAATTTACTAAAAAATAGAATAGTACTGTGATTCAAAACGAAAATTTTCTGTAATTTCGCACAAAAATTCTTTGGCAACATATTAATCTGACAAATGAGCAAAAAGTATTCCTGTTACAGATTAACCTGATAAAAGCTTCCTAGATCAAATACTTCCTAAGCACCTAAGGTATTTTGAAAATTTTAAAAATCCCTATATGAATTTACAATGCATTATAAAAGCTTCTCTATATAACCCCCAAGGCTTTTTTGCACACAAAACTAAAATTTCCTGGTGGCCTTTAGGAAATTATTTTATTGTAGAAAATCAAAAAGTGTGAATTGATGCATTTTGAAATGAAATGAGAGACTAATTAGGCAAATTACCCCTTTTTCACCAATTTCTGAATCCCGGCAACTCATTCAAGAAGCAATTCAAGGATTAGAATATAACCAAATACAATTTCCTATTTTATTTATTTTTTCTTTTCCCCTACAAAAATCTTTTCCTTAACAAAAAACCTACCCAACTCAAATTTTGTTTGATAGTCATGAAACAAGTTCAGCCAAAACTTGAAAAGAAAAAAAAAACCGAAAAAGCCAAAATCACGAAAAAAGTAATCTTCGCGCAATCATCAAATTATTATTGTTATATAGAGTTAAGGTGATAAGGGAAATTGTAACATTATTTTTGCAGAAGGAGAAAAATTAAAGATTCGAAAAAATGCAACATTTTATCAAAATATATTTTACAATTTTTTATGGATTAAAATACACGTTAATGTTATTGACTTGGCAGTAAATTTGGGGTGACGTTCTAATTTACAAGTGGGTTCCATTAATTATGCACGTTAGGGTTAAATTTTCCACCGGATATTTTCAGAATGAATTTTCTTTTGTCTCGGAAATAAATCATTTTACACGCACAAAATAATGAGTGCAAAAATCTTGAAATTTTCGCAAGAAACGATAAACTCACGGTAGCAAACAGCATCAACTTTCCGGACTGAATTAGGCAACCCATTGACAACACAAAAACACAAGAAAAAGATCAATGCGAACATCTTCAATTAACCTCACCAATAACGACTGATAGCAAATGAATCCTTTTGATGTTTCTTCGTAGATTTCCTTCCTTTTCTGGGCCGATATTTGAGGAAGACACGAACACAGGGGAAAATATCCGTGCTGCTCTAATACGTGACCAACCCGAGTTCATACACGACATTGTCTTATGCATCAAGTATATACGTGCAATTTCTGACGGAGTTCTGAGAATCGAAAATTCATCTGCTTAAATGCTTTCATATTTCTCAAATATGAAATTCTGTTTGAAATTTTTAACTTCATAATTCAATCTGCGAAACTGACGATAATATATCAAACAATCGACTTATAATACCCCGGATAACGGATTTTCTCATATTGATCCAATAATTTTCATTTCAGAATGCTGAAACACGATTCGGAAAAGTTTTGTACAGTTTAACACTCTCCTGCATGATTATAATTGGTTATCCATTTAAAAATCGAAGATACAGTGAGGAATAAGATTCTTGTCCCAATTGAAAGCGACTGTTGATTTTTCCATAGAGCAAGTAGGTCTGATGATAGCAAAAAAATGTACATAGCCAAAGATTTTCCAAGGTTTTAGGAATTTTTGGATTAAAAACTTTTTTAAAATTTGAAATCTTTTAGATTCAAAAATTGTAATTCCCTACATGATAAATGAAAATTTTATAGCTACACCCAGAGTTCTACGCCCATGTTACAGGGTGATGAAAAAAAAATTTGTCAGGCCAGCTGAAATAATATACTGTGGATTAAAATCTTTTAAAAAATTTGAAATCTTTTAGATTCAAAAATTGTAATTCCCTACATGATAAATGAAAATTTTCTAGTTACACCCAGAGTTCTATGCACATGTTACAGGGTGATGAAAAAAATGTGTCAGGCCAGCTAAAATAATGAAATTATGTGATGAAAAAAAATTTGTCAGGCCAGCTAAAATAATGAAATTCCGTTGTCTCTAAAATTTAGAAAAAGATGCTTAAAAGTTCAAATTGTTCAGATGGTCTGACAACTTTCTAGCCAAACGTGACAGGGGTGGAGAACTCTGGCTGTAACTGAAAATTTTTCAATTATCTTGATGCAGTAATAAATTTTATTGTTTTTAAATACAAAAATTCCAGAGCCTTAAGATGCTTAGAAGATCAAGGGCTTATGTCAAGAATATCCTTTTGAACAATCCAACCCAATCTAGAAATATCAGAGGCCTTGTGCAACTGGGACAACCCTTGTATGGTTGCTTTTGTTCTTCTGTACTGTGTTTAACTTACTGAAATGTTTCGAGAAATATACTGGGATTTATCAATTATCATCATGCAGTAAGTTCTATGACTTCTTCTCAGTCCCCAAAATCTCCAAATAAGCTCAGCCCCAAAATTGTGTGTTTTAGTGTTTCTGAGAAACCAGCAAAGGACAAATATGATTTGGATTGGTGTTGTGTATAATTTGAGAAAAATGCATTGCCCTTTAGTATTTTCATTTAGCACAAATTCTGTGAATTCCGGATAGGTGTGCACTTGGTGCTGGTTCTTGTCCTTTTGAGACATAGAAAGAAGATCAACTTTCCAATTGGGTTACCTCCTGGAAGTTTAAACTAATCATGGTACAGTAATGTATTATGCAACCAAAAAAAAAAAAAACAAGTCAAATGGAAAAGTTACAGATATTATACCTCAAGCCAATGAGGAGATATCATAGCTTGATATAAAATGCCCTTTTTATAAGCCAACCAAATTCAGCAGCGACTGCAATTTTTTTTAAGCAGACATGACCTTCCCCATTTACTCAAATTTCTTCAAATTTATCTCACCTCTGCTATTGAAATTATCATCGCTACGGTGAATATTCAACTTATTATTTTCAGCAGATCATGGCGCAGAAACGTTCAAAAAACCCTGCTGTAATAATAATAAATAATATTCCTCAAGGTTGGTCAGATACCAGGACGACACCAAATCATCTTGCCATATCACCATTCCACCTGCACATCTTCTCACACACTCAGATAACACTGGAAATGGCAGCAGTCGCTGTATACGCTTACTTAATCAGCGTTTGTGGCAGATTAAGCATGTAATCAAGACGATTCCATCCTCTTTTTGCAGTACTGTGCAATACACAGTACGACATGACGTAATTCACTAACGCACACATACACAGGCTTCCTTTTCTTTTCAAATGCTCAGAAAATAACGCCAGGAGAGAAAAAAAAGTGAATTACGTAAATGGAGGAAGGCCGTCAATTGCGCAACTCGCTGATAAAAATAATGCTGATTTGATGTGTTGAGTAATAAGAGATACGCTATTAGCGCCTTAGGAACTTCGGGAAAGCACTGAAAAAAAAGATAAATTAAAACTGATTAACGAAAAATAAAAATAAAGAAGAACTCACGGTTGACTCGAGCAACAAACCGTCCAGGAAAAATACCCGGCATTGTAATTCGCAACCCGGAAAAAAAACCGAATTCTTTCAGAAAAAAGTTAGCAAAAAATTGGCTCAGCACATCAGACCCGAGAGTTGCAGAATTTGAACAATGACGTCAGCTGGAACGTGGTTCGACATGATACCGGCAAATGCCACTGCTGCTGACGCCTTCTGCTGCACTTCCCGCAAATGCTGCGGGACAAAAGAAAATAAAAATCAGTCGATTCCGAGAATTTTTGCGATTTTGCAATTCACGCAGCGTTTGAAATAAAATTTTAAAACTGCAGCATATGGAAATTACACAAAATACGTTTCAACTGTTGATAGAAAATACAGGCTCATTTAAATTTTTCTTCCGCATGAAATTATCCTTACATGAATTATTTCACTATAATGTAACATTGACAAAAAAATAAACTCGAAAAATGCTTCTCTAGATATATTTTTTTTTTTATTTGCACCTTAAATCTTAAATTTCCTGCATTTCGTCAAGATAAATAATCAACCTTGTCTTGTCCTCATATTCGAAACAAATATGTTCCATGACTAAAAAAAAAAAGTAAAGAAAAACAAGGCATGGCAACGATGAACAGAGAATAACATTATTCAAATTGTATTTCCGCGTGAAATTATTCTTGCCACCTTGCCAGCATTAGTTTGACAAAATATTAGCTAAGTGAATAAGTTTCTAGAATCTAAATGCTATTTCAAATTTGCCCCTTCAAACGACAATTTTTTGCATTTCGTTTAGATAAAAAATCGACTTATCCTCAGATTTGAAAATAATCTCTCCAAGAGAGAGAATAAAAAAAAAAGCTTGGCAACGATAAACAGAGTATAAAAATTAATGTACATTTTATTTCCGAGCAAAATTAACCTTGCCAACAATATTTTACGATCGTGTTACTAAAACCAAAATTTTGTGTCGGGGAAAAAGTTTCTAGAATCTAAAAACTTTCTCAAATTCAAGCTTCAACTAGTCAATATTCTGCATTTCGCTCTCTCATATTTGGAAAAAAAAAGATTAATGGACCCACTTTCTTCGAACACTCCATACATTTTTAATTCACCCTGTGAATCTAAGCAAACCCGAAGCACCTTGATCAAGTGAAAATCGAAAAGATACGCCTAATATTCAATCAAATGCCGAAACTCGATTGACAACTGACCTTGGGTCGCGAAATAATTCCGGTTCCGGAATCCCCGTGAGATCTGAAAATCAAACAAAGATTTCAATTAGACCTTTCCTCGTTCCTGAAGAAGAAAAAGAGGACCAAAAAGGAATCGATCATTGTTACCTGGCAGCATTGTAGAGTTGAAACAAGGCATGGACCGTAGCGAGTAGCATTTCCGGTAACAAGCGTTGCAAACTCGGATGAATCTTGCCGTAAGACTGGACACATTCTTGCACAGCTTCGTTTTTCAGCGGAACTATTCCCATGGGCTCCAACAGCTGTTTTGTACAAGCACGAAAAAAAATGAAATAAAGGTTTGCAAAAACAATTGGGACCGAGAATTCCATTATCTTCAAAACGTTAATCAACAGACCTAATTTTTAAAGAATTAAATTCCATAAAAATCGTCTTTAACAATTATTTGGACATACTGTAGTTTCGCGATAAATACAAATCAATTAAAAACTTCAAAGAAAAAAACGCACAATTCGTGCAACATAAGAAAATCCTTTCACTTAAGAAATACTCTAAAAGCCACAGACTTACTCTCATTGGATTCACAAAGGTTCATTTACTCCGATTAAAATTCAAAGTCAATTTTCTTCAACCTTGGCACAAAGGAAGAAACGAATGCTCTCAAAAATCCCCCCGCAAAACCAAGCAGGTGATCCTTTTCAAGTAACAAAATATTCTATGGCCTACATGATTTTCAATTCTGGTCAGTTGAAGAGTTTCTGACCCGGTTATTTATTCATGCGACACCTGCTTGACATTCCAGGGATCTTGGTCAAGAAAAATGGCTGCTCAAAATTCGAAAATGCTAGAGAAGTTTTCTGGTTTGTTCCGTGATAATATGCTTAACGAAAGTTGCAAAAAGACGAATTTAAATTCGATTTATTCCGTCATTCATGATCAAGTCCAGATTCAGGCGACATCTGCTTTTCAATCCAGGAAGCTTCACACTAATGAAGTTAGATGAAGGAAATCTTTCTCTACATCGGATTTTCTCGAATTTTTCGATGAATGTAAAGATATTCTACTGAAGTTGCAGGTTAATTTAGCGTCTGTTTCGTTACTTTTTTTTTCTTGCGTGTCCCTGATCAAAGTTGAACTTGAGGTGACACCTGCTTGACAAGTGAGGAAACACGATGGATCATTTTTTTTTTTAAGGGAAAAAGAAAACGCATTTTCTTTTTTTACAGTCAATTTTCCGAAGGAGATAGGAACTAACCTCGAGAGCAGGGAGCATCTTTTTCTCGTGGAAAAGGTCAAAAAAGTGCACGACATTCAGCATGACCTCCAGGGCGCAGCACAAATACGCCGACATCTCGCTCCTGCCTCGTTCCCCGACAAACTCCAAAATCCCTCTGGCCTGTTTCACAAATTCTTCCTTCCTCACAACTTCCGGCCCGACACTTCCGGGCTTGAGCACAGCGCAGTGACTCAAATTCTTGAGCAGCAACTCCACGCCTTCGTCTTCGCGAGTGCAGAGGAACATGAGACTCACGGCGTCGTAATCGTCGCCACGGCCGTGCAACTCGTCAGCGACCATCGAAATGACCTTGTGGGTGTCGAGGCGGAATTCGTCCAGGGCCCCGGTGCTGCGAACCCAGTCGCCCATGAGTTTCCCAAAGAAGAATTCCCAGTTGCCGACTGCGAGGACCATCTCCGATGCCAGGCGGTAGAAGGCGTTTTGTCCGCCATACTCAAAATCTCTACGAAAGAAGGTTTTTCCGATTAGGGTTTTTAAAGAAACTTTCTCTTTCAAATATTGTACAACTGCACATTGGATTCTCAGCAAAAAAAATTATACATCAATTTATTCATATAATTCATCAACTGATAGCATGCGAAAAAGAGGTTTATCCGATTAGAATTTGTAAAAAACTTTCTCCTTCAAATATTGTACAACTGCACATCGGAATCTCAGCAAAAAAAAATTATACATTATTTATGCATATAATTCATCAACTGGTAGCATATTAATCGATTACTTTATTTATTCTCATTTTAGAAACCATTCTCTTCGCATGAAATGATGAAACCCAATTTTTGGAATCGTAAATACGGTATACGTTATAACGTTTTACACATGAGTTATTTAAATACCAGTCGTTAGAATCATTTCGGGGACATATGCCACAAACACCAGACACCAAGTTTTAGCGTCAAGATTGAAATCGCAAAAAATCAAAGCGTTGCGATCATTTATAAAATCACAATTTACACGAAAAATTACTACACCGTAATTCATTTTTTGATAAATACTGTACTGCACTCTTGATTCTATACGCATATATTCGTAAAACACAACGCTATAATCGCGGTCTGCGAATAGAACTCATTTATCATCAGATTTTTGCCACTGAACTACTGCGTAGTGCAAAGAAAGAAAGAACCCATTTCAAAATATTGCGAAAAGCCAAAAAAACAATGGCTTTATTTATAAAACAATTCGAAGAACGCAACTCAAGAAATCGTGGCACCATTATTCACAAGAACAAACTAGTGTTCAGTAGAATCTCGTTATAACGAATAATTCATTACAACGAAGTCATTCTTAGGTCCCTTTCCGATAGCCGCAATGTTAAATTATTTACCTTATAACACAGTTTTCGCTACAACGAAGCGATGAGATTTTTCTACACAACATTCAACATCGACAAAAGATAAGGTAGCATGAGAAAACACTAAAGTAACTTGATCGTTAAAAATTGGCCCCTTTCTAAGCAGTTGAATCGAGCTAACAATAAAATGTGAATAAATAATAACGAAAAATCCAGAAAATTGGGCGAAAGGTAGAATCGTGTTTTAGCTGCAATGTTTAGAAATTACTCACAGCAGTTGATAATAGTAATGCAACGCTTCGACGCAGTCGCTCTTGTAAAACTTCTTCGTGTATAAAATCGTCATTCGCCCGACATTCAGTCTCACAGCATCTCCAGGAACACAATCCACTGCGAAGCAAAACAAAATTATTTTAAAAAGCGAACAAGTCTTCTAAAAACCTTCGAAATAAAAAAAAAATTTTAATTATGAGGATCAGCAACAGATCTCAAGGAACTTTTCTCCCCCTGGAAAGCATACATTAAAAAATGTTTCGAATAATGACAGTCACGATTGTCCATCAGATGAAACAATTCCTCAAGCATCTTGAAAAAAATATGACAGAAGCTTCCATAAAATTTGAGTGACTCACGCATATTTCGCTTGGTGCTTTTCGTGTGGATCAGCAAACCCAGATCTTTCAAAGCCAGGGCCATGTGCACAGCTTCCGTCTTCAACGTACCATCCAACCGGTACAAAAACTCTATCGCCCTTTCAAACTGTCCAGACAGCATCAAGACCGAAAAATACAAATCCGGTTTCTTCATCGCGTTGAAGTGATTCTCCCCTGAAACAAATGATTTTAAAATAAACGTTTCTTAACGATTCGTGGGATCCTAACCCTGCAAAACCAAACACAACACAGTGAGACCCCCGAGATGAGGACATAATTGGTGCATCAAGAGCGTCCTGATGTAAGAATGTCCCAAAGTTGAGTCTCATTTTCCCTTAGACTTCAATGCTAATGAATTCAATTGGTTCTCCTTTTTGTCAAAAATTAGAAATAAGCCCTCACAAAAATTTAATAAAAATTGGTTACCTCAACTTCAAGTTGTAGAAAACAGCAGCGCAGAACAGACTACATAGAATTTGATCTTTTATAGAATCTGATATCAAAAGGAGTTCAAAAAGCAAAGAAAAAGAATAAATCTTGCTAGAATATGCACAGATGATAGGAAAAACTCTGAAAAAAAGAAGCACAAAATCAGCTCGCTCTTTATAATGAATTAAGAGTGAAATTATCATGCTTTTTTCAATTTTTGTGAATTTAAATAGCTTGATTTCTTCAAAAGATATAAAAATAAAATGCTTTGATTTTTTGGGAAAATTTTCAGGAAGGGAGAACTTGAGCCAATGTCTGGATGTCGGGCCTGATTTTCTTGGGTTTTCAATTGTCCCCAAGTCCAATTGTCCATATGTTGGGGTGTCCGCATATCGGGGTCTCAATGTATTTAAATATATTTTGCAAGTGTTCGAAGATGATAATCAAATTTCAAAATATACGTCCACGGAAGGCGAGGCAAAGCGAAAAAAAAATGGAAAATTTTAACATAATAAAAGCACACGTCAAGGAAAAATACCGTATTTTTACTTTCTCATAATAATCTCCGATGCAACAAATTCCCACTTACTTTTCCCCGAAGTCCCAAAAACTTCTCGGTTTCGGAATGATACCAAGATCTATTTTTTACCTTCACCGTAACAATATATAAAACCTTCGCTCGACACAAATTTAACGATCATACGTTAGTTAATAAGCCCACGGAATATTCACGCATTTACGCGTTTAGCAGCGCGGAGATTACTTTCATTGCACACAAATTCAGCTGGTTGAAAATGCAGCCTGAAGTGAAGTGATGCTGAATTCTTAGGGCAGAGAAATAATTTACCGTAATCTTCGGAAATCATCTTCTGGAATTCCGGTAAAGACGCAGTGCTGAGTGGTTGTCCGGCCGAAGCACTGGATGTGACAAGTTGACACAACTTGACCCACATGTAATCATCAGTAGTGGATACAACTGCCTCGTGACCATCTGCAAAATCGCAAGCTCCGAGGATACAATGAACGATTCTGCAACAAAAAAAAAAAGATTTTTCAAAAAACCATTTCTTTAAACAAGTCAGATTTAATCTTCAGTAATAATACGTACTTCTTGAAGGGATCCAGAGAATTGACGTAATCCCTCCTGTAGGCAAGTCTAATACTCGCTTCCGACTCTGGGCTCAAGCGTTTCTTCGCACTCGCAGCCACTTCTGTCAAATATGGTTTTACTTCCGCCAAAATCATCCTGCAAAAAAAATGTAGAAAGTCGTGCAATTCCAGGAAAAATTGTGTTGAAAAAAGCCATTTTTTCCGAACAAATTTTAGCAATCAACAGAAAACTACGTCATTCAAGGATCGTTTGAGATGAACAGATGAAAGGGGATCATATCTGTTATTTCTGAATGCAAAAAAGGGAAAAAAAAACCATCTAGCCAAAAGCATGGTGTCATTGTATATTTTAGAAAGTCCTGTAACATGTTAACAATACCCCTTTCTTATTCTGGCTTTCAAGCGTGCATTTCTCAACCCCAGGTTGTTAACAACAGGAATCACTTGACCAAATCATTTTAGGTGTCTGTTCACCTAAAATGTACTCAAAAAGCAAAGAAAATAAGCAAGTCTTGCTAGAATATGCACATATGATTGAAAAAAACACACATGATAAGAGTGACCAAACACTCTTATGGCGCTCATTGCTGGTTTGGAATACTCTGTTGTTGGGCAAACTAGGATTATATTAAAAACGCACTCTTGCCTTTGTATAGAGAAGTAGATTCAATTGCATCCCCCAGGCCATAAGCTCAATACAGTACTTCTCAACTTCAAGTTATCTTAATGAGTAAACACCAAAGCGAAGAAAAGGTTAAAAGCAAAGTAGCAATGCATTAATCCTTTATTTCAATCCTTCTTTGGTAGTTAAGGTTAAAAATGAAAATTGGGAGAAAAATTGGCGTCAATGTTAAATTCTCTTGGTAAAAAATATGACATTTCTTGATGATTTTACGGGAGGATTGATGGAATTTTTCCATTACTGTTATTTCTTTTGCTCGGAACCTACGAAACCCTCAACAATACCAATGAAAAAATGGCAAATTCATCAATTCTAAACTCACCCAGCTTGATCCGCAATTTCGAGAGCAGTGTCCCAGTCTCCACAGCGCAGAGCAAAATACAAATACGCCCAGGCTGGAACACCCGCAACAAGTCCTTCGTGGGAATCCCCACTATTCCTGGGATCATGCAAGTACTCGAAAGACGGCTTCAAGCAAGTGTTCCAATAGTTTCTGATCAATTCACACTGTCCCGGACGACCCTTCAACTCCACACTCTGCATATTATGCCACACTGCTTTCTCGATGTGCAATTGGAATCTAGCGATGAATGAAAAAAAAAGTGGACACATTTTCATCGAATATACAAAGGTAACAAAAAAATGGAAGAAACGCCGGAAATCAACGTACTTCTCCTCAAGAAGTCTTCTGCCGATGAGAACGATTTTGTCAATGGTTTCCGGCAATAATCGAAAGGCCTCTGGAGACGATTCGCCAATCTTCCCAGACGCCAATTCTTTATACGCTAAGATCATGTTCCACCGAGCCGAAACAGTCTGCAAAAAAATGAAATGAATTAAAATAAGTGAAAATGAAGCGTCAGTTCCAAAACATGAAACATTTGTTCCCTTCAATGCAAAATACTTCATTCATTTCAAAATCAGACGCGCCAATACTTTCGTAACTCAAAATGAAGACAATCCTTATTCTGCTAATGCAAAAACGCTTTTGCATCAAAGTCAAAATCTTCAGAATTGTAACAGCCTTTTGATTCTACGGACACCAGCTCAATTTCTTTCGAAATTTCGAACAAAAATCAGAACTCTTTTTCCACAGAACTTTGAATACTGTATTGTAAAAATGTACGTTGATCTCTTGTATTTCACGCTCAATTTCAAATCTTCTTGTCATAGGTAATCAAGCACTTCGTCTGTAAATCAAGACGCAACGTGATTTTTTTCACAACTAATTTTCACATCAACGTGTAATTCATACTCATACTTATGGAAAATGTCGCCTGAACTTTTTTACGTAGCGCTTTTAATAAAATTTCAGTAACGCCACAGTAAATTTTTAATCTGTTGAAATAATGAGGAGACTGATGTCAGACATTCTCGAAAACAGAGTAGAAGCGTGTGAATGATGCATAAAAAAAAGAGAAATCTTACCGTGGACTTGAGTTCATCAACAGCAAGCAGAAATTTGTGAAGAAGATCTGATGAAGCTTTTCCAGCGATGACTTCCCGGTTGTGCTCCATCAAACGCAGAGCAAACTTGGCACCAACAGAATCAACTTCAGACGAAGTCATTCGCGATTCCGCATTCGACACGGAATGGAACTAAAGAAACAAATCGCGCAAAAAACATTAATACAGTATTCCAATCCCCAATGAACAAGGAAAAGATGAGAAAACAGTGACATTCAGCAGAAATAAGGAAAATCGAAGGCGGGAGGAAAAAGGTCCGAAATTTAGATAATTCAAATTACTTCAAATCGAAAAGCCTAGCAGTTTCAATATGGTATCAACATCAGGTTTTCAGACGCAGAAAATACAGTACAAACAATTAAGCGAGAAACGTTTCATTAACAATTTTGTTTCAAGCTCATCTGAACCAAAATTGACTCGCACGACTTTCAAAAACCCCCGTTAAATAAAATCACGAAATCTTTACAAACTCGATTCAGTAAATTGTTAATTTTTCAGGGTGACATGAGCAACAAGAAAGAATAAATAAATATATAAAAAGTGAAAAAAATGCATTTACCATTTCAAAAACTTCTTCGTAAATCGAAACTGACATTCACAACCTTTAAAAAATCGATTACAGCACATGAAAGGTAAATTTATCTCGCGAAAATTCTTCGTTTCATTCATAATTAATATCAGGTTTTCATACGCAGGGGAAAAAAACTAGAAGGAAACGAAGAATCCTTAAATAAAATACTGCATATCCTTGAAATCATGTGAACCAAAATTGGATCACATGACTCCTGAAAACCTCGTCAAATAAAAGCACAAAATTTAAATAAACTCAATTAACTTCACAGTTAATCGTCACTGAATCACGTAGACAAGCACACGAAGAAAAATAACACTGCATCAAAACAGTGAAATTGTGGAAAACCCTTCATAAAAATGAAAAAAACTTCGCGTGAAAATACAAAAAAAAAATACCGTAATAAAATTAAACTCACGATAGGTTTCTGAACAGACATCATCCGCTCATCAACCGCATCGTCTTCGTCCTCCTCCAGAATGCTGTTCTTCAGCTCTTCCCAGGCCATGTCTGCACACACGCGGAAAGACTGCTCACACGCCTTCGACACCGAGTCGGCCGCATCACGGAACGCTTCCAAGACCAACAGTTCCTTGGCTCGTTCCAAATAAGCAGGCACGTTCACGACACTAGGCTCTTCGCTCTGCTTCACCACAGGGGTTTGTCCGATGCATTCCAGGACCCGCTTGGCAGAAAGCATGTCCACTCCCCGGGACCCGAAAAACGCCATCCTGAAGGAAATGCAAGAAAACGTCCTTTCAGTCAATAAATTCCTCCACTCCAGAATTTTATTTAATCCAACGATTTTCCATCTCAGAATATTACCTAAATTAAAATTTAGGTAATATTAATAAAATATCAATCAAATAAAATTTTCGACAGGTTCACGAATGAACTATTTTCTGGACAGGAAAAACGTCGACACGCAGAAACTAAAAAAATACTACCTAAATATTGACGAGGAATAATATGACGTAAAAAATGGCAATGTTCAAGCAATAGAGAGTTAGAGACACGGAATTAACGGCTTAAATGGGATAATCAAATTATCAATAATTCAGAATTATTGGATATATTCAAATCGGATCTTCAGTTTAGTCGTATGCATGATACCAAGAAGAAATTTCAACTATTTTATGGGTAGGAAAAACTTCGAGACAGCCAGAACTTCGAAGAATATTATCTAAAAATTGCTGATATTTAATTTATTGAGGCACAGTTCAGACTTTAGCGGTTTGAAAAAGTTGATCAAGTCATTATTATTTCAGAAAATGAAAAAATTTTTGATTGGATTCCAAATCACACCTTCAATAGCATGCTTGATACCAAGAAGAAATCTCAACTATTTTTTGAACAGGAAAAACGACAATAATCTTAGAGAATATCACCCAAAATATTGTCGATATTCAATCAAAAATGACGAAGTTTAACGTTTTTTGTTCAATAAATCGGATTAATATTTTTCGTTTCATCAGATTATAAATATTTCGTAGGATACGGAAATCTCGTACAGTTTCAAATCGAACCTTCAGTCATACGTTCGATACCAAGAAGAAATCTCGACAATTTTTTTTTTTGAAAAAAAAACGTTAAAAACTCCGAAGAAATAAAATACTGTCATTATTCACGTAAAAGTGACAACGTTTAACGGTTTTAAATAAGTTCATTAAATTATCAAAAATGTATAAAATGAAATGAAAAAAAATATCGGGATAGTTTCAAATTGCATTCTCACTCGTAAGCACAATACCAAGAGAAAAATCTAATTATTTTCGGGACAGGAAAAACGTGGAAACACTCAACAGAAACTCCAAAGAATTATCACTTCCAAAAATAATTGTCTATAATAAAGCCACAGATACAAGATAAAAATAGTTGCTGACGGGAATTTTTCAAGAACAGCAATTTGAACTCACCCCTCGGCTTCCGGAATCGGCCTAGTTGCGTGTCGAGTCCACAGTTCATCGCCTTCTTCCATGAGTTGTCGGAAATTCCGACGAACCCTGGGCAACTCGCGCCCACTGCTGTAAACGACTTCAGTCATTCTATTGACAATAGCTTGAACCCTGTCCAAGTCCTCCATCGCTACACTTTCTATCACTCTTCCTCTGACACAAACACATACATACGAAAATTTAAAGGTTTCAAGCGAGACTCCACAAGAGATGATTCGGAACTCAGAACAGAAATGACGGTCCCCGAAAATATTTTTTGAAGGAAAAAGTTCCGTTTGTATCTCCAACACACTCACAAAAAAAGCCAGATTTTGAAACACTGGAAAGTTTCTAGAGTTGCGCTGGTCCCATATTGCAAGTCATTTGTCCGATTCATGTGCACACTGATCTTATGAAACGTTTTTTTTTTTTTGCGGAATGACTCTCGTCAAAAAAAAAAAAATTCGTTTCGCCGAATCGCGGAACTCACTCGAAATAAATTGGCAGTTCATCCAATGAACAACAGCTAACGCAAATCTCATCCCCCTCACACAAAAAAAAAAGAAATGCTGATTTACAGCGAATGCACAAGAATCCCAAAAATGATTCCCCCGAATTAGACGGAATGTCTTTAGAAACGCAAGGAAGACATCAAAAAAATGAGCACACATCGGAAGGAAAAAAAAAGTATTAAAATTCGTTGATTTCGGTAAAAGTGCGATCACTTGCAGAAAACGTCACCTTCAGCCGAAAAAAAAAACGTTCTTAGCACGTAGCCCTCTCTTATTCCTCTCAACCAAATGGCACTCAAATCCTGGTTCTTCTCGATGCTTTCTATTCACTGGTTCGTTTCTGTTTCCATCCTTTCGGACGTCTTCACCTCGTGTACACCGACCTCACGCTCTGGATGAAGGAAATTTTTAAAAATGAGCGAGAATGAAATCGCAAAACTTGCGTCACTCAAAAATTGACGATTCCCCATACCCTTAGATTTAATATGAATAATGAAAAAAAATTCGTTTCGAAATATATTTCAACCAAGGAGTTTATTTTCGGATTCCTCTTTATTTCACGTATGAAGTACTTTATGCTTGCTTCCTAAAATTCCAAGCAGATGTCGCCCGAATTGCGCTCCGTTGCAAAATTCAAGCGGGAGCTGAATTACGGTGCAGAAACCCGCGAGATTGGAAAAGTTGTGCTCAAGCAAAAATGATCGCAAATTTTACAGGTCAATCGATAAAAAGAAATTATAGGTTAAAATGAAGAGATTCCGGGCGATGATTCGAGAACATTTGATTCTTCTCACAATAATTTAAACAAATCCACTTTTCGTTTCTAAAATTAGTAAGACTGTCAGGATACTCCTATTGATAGGAAACAAAGTAAAGCGAAAATCAAGTATCGACCAAATTAAAATCTACCACGTTTAAATACAGTAGAACATCGATAGCTCTAATCTTTTCAAGTTAAAGACACCTCCCCGAAAACTTTCGTTCTCAAATCTCCGTAGCTAAAATTTTCCGGAGGCGTTTCGGCTATTAATTCATTGACACAGGAAAGAGAAAAATCGATATAAAAACGTGAATTGATTCGTTTTGAAAGGAAATACAGTGGAAGACTAAATGGTCAAACTAGCCTCCAACTTCGGCATCCTGTCAACTCATTTAACGAACAATTCAAGGCCCAGAATATCACCAAAACCATTTTTTCAACTCTTCTTTCTTGTCCCACAACAAAAACGCTTATTGACCCCACCTACAAAAAATGTTGGGGTTCCCTTGAAATTCGACTGTTTTGAGCAACTAGAAGAAAAACAATCGAACAAAATAACTCACTTGAGGAGGCATATTCATCCTTGTCGGCTGATGATACTGGTCCTCCAACCGGCACAAATATTTCGTTTCTAAAATTAGTAAGACTGTCAGGATACTCCTATTGATAGGAAACAAAGTAAAGCGAAAATCAAGTATCGACCAAATTAAAATCTACCACGTTTAAATACAGTAGAACATCGATAGCTCTTATCTTTTCAAGTTAAAGACACCTCCCCGAAAACTTTCGTTCTCAAATCTCCGTAGCTAAAATTTTCCGGAGGCGTTTCGGCTATTAATTCATTGACACAGAGAAGAGAAAAATCGATAAAAACGTAAATTGATTCGTTTTGAAAGGAAACACAGTGAAAGACTAAATGGTCTAACTTTCCTCCAACTTCGGCATCCTGTCAACTCATTTAACAAACAATTCAAGGCCCAGAATATGACCTACTCTTCTTTCTTGTCCCACAACAAAAACGCTTATTGACCCCACCTAAAAAAATGTTTGGGGTTCCCTTGAAATTCGACTGTTTTGAGCAACTAGAAGAAAAACAATCGAACAAAATAACTCACTTGAGGAGGCATATTCATCCTTGTCGGCTGATGATACTGGTCCTCCAACCGGCACAAATGACACGCTTGGCACAACAAGTGGGACTTGAGCGGGTAGCACCTTTTATCAGGTTCGTCAGTCAACTGCATCCCACAATCCTGGATAAATTCATTCAGATCCCATCCAAAAAATATTTTCAGAATTTCTTTTTCAGTTTTTTCGGAGTCCAAACCTCGCAAACGTAGCAATCAACATGAAAATCCTTGTCCATGGAAACGACTCGCACTGTTTCTTCAGTGCCTTCAACCGGCGTAATTGCTTTCCCACAGGCAGCACATTTCGGAGCAAATATTCTTCATTTAAAAAGGAAAAATTCCGCATTTAAACCTGGTTCATTTGATGAAGCGATTTCTCTTTATTTCAACTTACGCATGGTAATCCTGTACGCAGTAAATCTTGTTCTGAACGTCAATCGTGAACGGCACTCCGTCCAAACATTCGTTGCACACGCAGCAACGAAAACAACCAGGGTGATAACTTTTCCCCATTGCCTACAAAAGAAGAAAAACGTATCAGACAATGCTATCGTCGAACCATCAATAAAAACGTCACGCAGCAGCAGGAATCCAAGGCGAAAAAATAATCAATTCCATTTTTGGAAAGGTACTGTCCGAGATCAATATTAACCCGTATTAATTATCATCTAAAGGGTCATTCGCCTCCTCAACAAGCGTGTCTGGAAAAAATGCACCTGGTCTTAACGGAATCTTCGACGATATATTTAGTACAGTACTGTATTATTAAATCAAACGTAATAAAGGTCGTGTTATTGGCAGTTGGCATGGTAACAGAGCAATTCAAGCTCAAAAATAACTAATGCGTTCTATCATAACGCTTGCACCTGCTTCCCGAAATGTCAAGCAGGTGTCGCCTGAATCATCAACAACCCATGCGGGGAAACTATGCCAAGATACAGATAAGCTAGATACAGTAAAATCTTGTCACAAAAACTCTTGTGGGGACTTCAGAAAAAGTTTGTTGTAACGNTCTGGAAAAAATGCACCTGGTCTTAACGGAATCTTCGACGATATATTTAGTACAGTACTGTATTATTAAATCAAACGTAATAAAGGTCGTGTTATTGGCAGTTGGCATGGTAACAGAGCAATTCAAGTTCAAAAATAACTAATGCGTTCTATCATAACGCTTGCACCTGCTTCCCGGAATGTCAAGCAGGTGTCGCCTGAATCATCAAGAACCCATGTGGGGAAACTATGCCATGATTTTCAGCTAGATACAGTTTAATCTTGTCACAAAAACTCTTGTGGGGACTTCAGAAAAAGTTTGTTGTAACGAGATTTTCAAAATTTTTCACAGGGGGTTTTTTTTAAAAGATTAAACCTGCATATATTCAAGATTTTTCCTTTGTGGCCTCTTCAGATGTTTTCCAGTGTTCATCAAAAACTGATTTTCAAAAAGAAATTCATGCGTCAATAAGAAAGATTCACTCTGAATAACACGTAAACACTAGCACTCTTAGACTTAGACTTTTCTAAGCAATTCCAGAACAGATTTGTAAGGGTGGATGTTCTAAAAAGCTTACATTCGTTAAGCATCAGTAGAGTTTCTCAAAACCCTTTTACAACATACAAAAACCCCTTTTAGCATGAGTTTTGCTGGGTTAATTTTTTATAAATCTAACCCCCCTCCCCCTGTCCATCTTTCCAAACCAATGATACATTTTTGGAAGACTGGATGTTCAGGTGAACTTGAAAAATTTTTGTTTTATCTACCTTCCATTTATGTCCTAAGAACCAGTCACAGTCACATTTTCAATGAGAAATTTGAGACTGTACCTGTATACCGGTACCTTCCTTGGGGATTTTTTTTCATTATGAAAATCACGTGTTCCACTAAAAAAGTTTGTTATACAGTATTTGAGTGGAAAGTTTCTAGTAAGAACTAAAAACATTACACATGGAACATCCTAAAGAGGGTCCTTAACCTTTGTTCATACAATGTGACTTTTTAAACAATATTGAATAATAAATAATAAACAACAATGAAAAACATTGTTCTAAATTGACACAAGTACATCACCAAAATCGTCATTTTGAAATTACTAAGGCGGAAAGTGGTTCATCAAAAATTAGGTGAACAAATGAGCCTCTCAGAATCTCTCGTTAATTTTTTTCCAATTTTGAAGCAAACACCAAAAAAGTGCTTCGAATACAGTGTTTGAGTCAAACACATTTTTGTCCAATCAAAGTCAAGTACCATGTTTACTTGAATACCACATGCACCTTTTTTCTCAAATTTCAGAAGAAAAAAAGGGGTGCACGTCATAAGCAGGTACAAATATTTCAAGAAGTTTTATAAAGTTATGTGTGCATTATACTTAATTATAATGGAGAAATTTGGAACAAATTTAACAAGAAAACTTTCTGTACTGAAAAAGTTTAAAATTGATCAGATTTTTGTTCAATTCATGCCTAAAGTCAATGTTTTTGTTTTTCAGTTTCGAAATTTTGTGGATTTAGATGCACTAAAAATTGGGGTGCGCATCTTACTCAGGGATAAAATTTCAGCAAAATTTCAAACTGAAAAATCCCTGTGCGCGCCTTATTTGAGGGCGTACTTGAGCGTGGTACACGAGTAAATCCGGTATTTAAAATAAAATGAAACAAAAATCGACGGACCTGCAAAATCATTTCCATGATCGGATGCTCGCAAATGGCGCATTTCTCCGCCGTCTGCTGAAACCCGGTCCACAAGTAGTCCTCTTCGCAATACACTCTTCCGTGCACGTTATAAAACGCCTTGCCTCGCAACGCGCGTCCGCATGAGCAACAAATGAAGCAGTTGGTGTGGTACAAATTCCCCATGGCCTGGCACGCCTGGCCCGCACCCGTCACCCGTTCCCCGCACGTGTGACAAATCCCGAAATATTCCCCTTCTTCTTCCTTGTTCTCCATCTCTTCTTCGATCCGTCTCGTCAAGGCGTCCACCTTCTTTTCGGCCTCACTCGGCCCAACGTTCCTCGGCGGCGTGATGGAAAATGACAAGAGCTTGGAGCTTTTCGGGCCCACTGGAGGCGGCAAAGGGGAATACGGGGAATACGCCGGGGCTTGACGGTACCTGTGTGAGATAAAACATGCTCATTTCCCGGACCAATGTCAAGTCTTCAACCTTTCTGCGAGAAAGTTGGGATATTTTCACAAACTTGTATGCCCAATTAGCGCTAAAAATCCGAATTTTTAAAATCTGATTTTTCAAGCAAGATCAGGAAAAAGTCCAATATTTATTTTCTTTTCCAGCAGACAATTTTGGCTGAAGAATGTTTTCCTGCATTTCTGGCATAGAAGTTTCTCAAGACAAAAGGATTTTCCTCAACCGAGATTTTTCCCAGCTTAGGCCTTTGCAGCCCAGGGGCATTTCAGTGACTTTTGTTCAAACTGAAATGCACCTGGCTCCAAACTATAGAGCTGAAACGGTACTTTGTATTCCAATTCATTACTTACAAAGAGGTCCAAAAGCACGGTAAAGAAAAGGAATAAAAAATGTGCTGTCTACAACCAGCTCCTTTTGGTTCACCTACGACAAACTAAGGCGCAGGAAGCTTTGGTGCGCGCTGGAAGTTTTTCATTTCGTCTTTGCTTTGGTGGAAGAAATTTCGCAAGCCTGTGGAGTTTGGGGAAGGAAGAAGCATAACCTGGAATTTATAATTTATTCTATTCTAAATTCACGAGCGACAAAAGAATGCAAGGAAATGCGTGTCGATTTTTTCAAGCTTTTGTGATTATTTAAACATAAAAAATATGATGACAGTATTGAAAGAAGTTTAATTTTCACAATTATTTGCCCATTTAATGAAATTGATTTAAGGTAGCTCAAATGTTTCGAAGCATCTGAAACAGTTACGTCTCAAAATTGTCCTGTCTTGGTTTTTTTTTTTTTTCATTTTTGCACATGCTTGCACATTTAATTCAAATTGATTCATGGTAGTCCAATTGTTTCCGTTTCAAAATGTCTCAAACAATGTCTGTCTTGAATTGACCCTGCCTCGAATTTTCCTAGATCCACAGTGAAGACCTCTATTGTAGCTGATGACTACTTTGGAGCGTTAAAGTCTGCCTCGTTGCCTAGCCTCGAGTGAATGTCAACCATTTCCTGAAACACAACTCCGCACACCAAAAAAAGCAAAATGTACAGTAATCGACAGCACAGCCAACAGTTGCACATTTTCAGGTACAGTACTGTACCTTTGTTGCGGCTTTTGAGCCGACACCGGGAACAGGCAACCGGGTCCAGGGTACGGAGGCGGGGGCGGCAGGAACCCGTCCTTGGCAGTCAACGCACTCGCCATGGCGGTGAAGTCAAAGGCCGCAGACGCGTTCACGTAGTCCGAAGTCGAAGACGTGTCCAGGTTCTCGTAGATGGGCGGGTTCCGAAGCGAACTGGAATTGTGGCGTCCGTACTGGGCACTGTTGGTCACGTCGGGAAGACCGCCGAGATTCTCGTAGAGGGCCACGTCCGGCGGGCGCGAGGAAAAGGCGTCCCGCTTCCGCAAGTATTCCGTCACCGACATTTCGTGTTTGCTGAGATCCGTTATCGCCGCGTCACCCGACATCACTCTCTCGTAAGCTTTCACAACATTTCCGGGAATAACGCGATTTTTTTTTCAAAAATAAAATCCCTATGGCGAGTAGAAACGAAAATTATTTGATTTTTCACAATGTTTAACCTCCTTTTCCGAACCCTCAACAAAAGAAAAATAAATTTAAAAATCTAGAAAAATGTATTCAATTATACAAAAGCAGGCAATTTTTCTTTAACGCTCAGCCTCGCTCTTAGGAATCTCAGTTATATGTCGCCTGTATTGCTGACTCACGCAAGGATTATCTCACCAAATTAAATTAAGTCAAACCAAAATTAATGAGCATGGAAACCACAATCTGGGTTTAAATCAACCATGCAAATAATTGAATGAGCTCAGCACAAATTTGTATTTTATTCAGAGGAAACAAAGAAAAGTATCTTGGAAATATTGTACTTGAACAACCGATACTTTCTCCTCTTATATATTGCTAAAAACGGTCCCTAAAACATCTTGTACAGTCAACCCATGATTTAGTGCCACAAATGTCCCTGGAACAAATCCTGCTTCATTGTGTTCTTAAAACTTTAGGAATTTAAGGGAAACCCTGATCAAGTGCCACAAAAATTCCTTGTCCTGGATGAAAAATGGGCAAAAATCGAAGTAAAGGCCTTATGGTTATTACTGAGAATCACATGCCCATGCTCACACAAAAACTCAGGAAAATTTTGAAAATGCTCATTCTGAGTTTACACGATTTTCAACTTTTTTTTCTGCATGGCACTTTCCTTCACCAGATTTTAGAATAAGATGGAAGCTTTCCTGAATATGTTGTTGATTACCGCTTGAAGACACTTGATAAAAATATCAATAAAAATTTCAAGGAACAGCCCTGTTCTTTTACTAGACGCAATATGTGTAAAAATCCAATACAAAATTGTATATTAAGTCTCATTAAATACATTGAAATACATTACAAAAACAGAGCATTTGAGCTTCAAATTACATCTTGTGACTTTCCCTCTTATGAAACACTCAGTGACCTAACAATTCTGAAAATAAGCTTGTCTTGACAACAGTGAAGACCCTCAATTGAAACTTCTCTCAAGTAAAACAATCGACATAGTGCCATAAAATGTGCCTTGACAAATTCTGACACCAAATCAAGGTTTGACTTTGGTAAACGACAAGCACCTCGTCTTTCACATGCCAAATTTCGGAAAAAAAATGTACGCAAAATTACCACATTAACCTATTACAGTAAACTGATCATGAAAGAAAAATGCAGGCGACATCTCCCAAGTAACAAAACTCAAGGTCGACAGAGCGTTCAAGAAAAAAAAAACACAAAAGGAGTATCAAAAATAGCCAAATTTGCAACCCGAACTTGCAGAAAACTTCCAAAACACCCGCGCCGATTTCATTAAATTCTTACAACTCGCACACTGATCCCTTCAGGATCCTTCTCTTCACTCGGGCGAAAGTCACTGTTCACTTCAATCACGGCAAATGTCCCACCAGAACCCCCCTTACAAAGAAACCCAGGGTTGATCACAACACACCCTCGGACATTTTTCACGAATGGAGAAAACGTGGACGGGGCGATCAGTAAATTCGGTTTCACAGGCAAATCCACGTGTCCTTCGTAATGCGACAAATCCAGATTCACACCCACGGCGGGAGGATAAAGCGGATAAAAACTCCTTTGCTTCAAAATATATTCGCCGAGTCTATGGAACCGATCACCTCCTCCTACGTTCAATTCTTCCTTCCCGAGATGGAATAGAATATCAGTGGCAGTACAACCAACCACTAATCCGTTAATCCGCAGCAAACACGGATCGCTGAAAAATTTGACATTCTCTGGCACTTTCAAACTAGTCGTGTAAGGAGGAGTGGGATAAAC